TGAATGATCTGTCCACTGCTACCACCTTTCCAGTGGGGACAGGGACATGTCCTGGGCTTTATTTTATTTTATTTTATTTCCACTCTGTGTATTCATTGTTCATGGTACTGTGCTGCATGAGGACATTTTATACATTTTGTGCATGCAGGATAGTCCCCCCCATACCTTATTACCCCTTTCCACAGCATTTTTAGTCTGCTTTGTTCCTCTACACAGTTTTGCTTCTATTTTCATGTCATATGTACACACATGACTTTATGTATCTGTCTAAAAATCTCAGAACCACAAATGACAGGAAACATATATTCGTCTTCCTGAGATAGGCTTAATTCACTTACTATGATTATTTCCAGTTGCATCCATTTTCCTGCAGACGACATGATTTCATTATTCTTCATGACTGAAAAAATCCTATTGTGCACATATGCCACATTTTCTTTATCCATTCCTCTGTTCTTGTACACCTAGGTTGGTTCTACAATTTAGACTTTAGCTTTTGTGAATAGTGCTGCAATAAGAGTTGATGTACACTTGTCTCTGTTGACTTTAGGTACAGCCAAGTCATAGGAAAGAGCTCCTTCATTTTTTTGAGGAACCTTTGTACTGACTTCCATGGTGGCTGGACTAGTTTACATTCCACCAGCAGTGCATGAACTTCCCTTTTGTCTACATCCTCACCAGCATTTGTTGTTACTTATTTTCTTAATGGCTACCTTTCTGACTGGAATGAGAGAGAGAATTTCAACAGCTCTGAGCTGCATCTCTTTGATGACTTGTGAGGTTGGACACTGTTTTCATGTTTATTTACCGTTTGTATTTCATCTTCTGCAAACTGTCTATTCATACAATTATTGGCTAGTTGTTTTCTTGTTTAATTTCTTGAGCTCCTTGTATATTCTAGACGTTAATTCTCTATCAGATGTATAGCTGTTAAACAAAGATTTTCTCCCATTCTGTAAGCTGTCTCTTCACTTAATTAACCTTTCCTTTCCTATGCAGCTTTTCAATTTCATGAGCTCCCCTTTGTCTGTTACTGGCATTATTTCCTGATTAACTAGAGTCCTCTTCAGAAAGTTCTTGCCCCTGCCTATATCATTAAGTATTTTCCTTACTTTTTCTACTATCAGTTTTAGAGTTTCAGGTCTTATATTTAGGTCATTGATCCATTTTGAAGTTGATTTTTATGTAGAGTGAGAGATAAGGATCAAATTTCATTCTTTTATTTGTGGTTAACCTGTTTTTCCACACCATTTGTTGAAGGTTTTTGTCTATTCTCCAATGTATGTTTTTGGCATCTTTGTCAAAACACAGGTGGCTGTAGCTGTGTAGACTTGCACCTGGGTCCTCTGTTATGCTTCACTGGTCTACATGTTGGTTTTTGTGCCAGTGTCTCGATGTTTTCCTGATGTTTTTCTTAGTATGGCTCTGTAGCATAATTGAGATCAGTATGGTGACACTTTCAAACGGTACTCTCTTTGCTTACGACTGCTTTGACTGCTAGGGTCTTTTGTGCTTCTACAGTAATTCTACAGTAATTTAAATATTTTTTATATTTCTGTGAAGAATGGTGTTTGGATTTTAATGGGTATTGCTTTGGGTAATATAGCTATTTTTAGCTGGGGATGGTGGCACACACCTTTAATCCCAGCATTGGAGAAGAAGAGGCAGGTGGATCTCTGTGAGATTCAAGCCAGCCTGGTCTACATAGCAAGTTCTAGCTGGGGCCACATGGAGAATGTGTCTCAAAGATAGAAAAAATAAAAACTATTTTCACAATATTAATTCTTCCAATCACTGAACATGGGAAGTCTTTGCATCTTCTAACGTCTTCAATTTCTTCCTTCAGTGTTTTAAGTTTTCATTATAGAGGTTTTTTACATATTTGATTGAGTTTATTCCAAGTTGGATTTTTTTGTTTGTGTTTTAATTTATATTTTTGAGGTCTTGTGAATGGGATAGTTTCCCTGATTTCTTTCTCAGCATATTTGTTATTACACCCCTTGTGTTAAGCATGAGACAGGCTGAGCTGAGCACAGTCAGACTGTCTGGCTGCAGGCTGTATTCTGCCACTTTCCAGCCATGTGACTTTTCTTCCAGCCTGTTTCCTAGCTTATAAACTGAGGATAGGGGTCACATCTACTAGTGGGGTGGTTGATAACAAGGCCTGGTGTAAAGAAGGCCTTAAAAGCTGGCTTTAATTTTCTTTACTTTTCTGTTTCCTACCATGATCTCCCTGAAATCTTACTAACAGCATGTCTTGACGGCTATGTCAAGAATTTCTTTCTCTTTATTTTATGTTTCTTGTTTGCCTTGGAATCTGAATTAGAGATCATCATTCCTTGAGAACAGGCAGGGGAGGAGCATGAGAAAAGTGGAGAATTAGTCCTGACAGCTGGACAAAGCTGAAGTGTCTTCCTACCTCCACAGGATGACTCAGGCACTTGTGGGGAGAGGAGAGGTATCCATCAGTTGTCACACAGTGAACAAGCAGGGTGGCCAGTGAGTCTGGCTTCCTATTCCTCTGTGATGTTGCTCACAGGAACGCCAAGTGGGAGGGGTGACCCAGAAGTAAGGGAGAGTGAAACTCTGTGTTAGGGTTCTACAGGGCTAAAGAGAGGGTTTGTAGCCTTCTCCTGCATATTTGTGTGAACATGTGTACTCGTGTGCTCATATTTGTATGTATGTGTTTTGTGTGTGTGTGTGTGTGTGTGTGTGTGTGTGTGTAGAGGACATTGCAGATGGAAAAAAAACCCAAATACATGAACTATTTGCTTTTGAGGCTACAACTGACTCTGGTGAAGGCTATTGAACACTGATGGTTTAAGCAAGATGTCAACATCTCTGCCTTGCTGTCCTTACCTCTCTTTATGATAAATAGTAGTCAAGAGAGTAGCCCTGCTCCTCTCTCCAGTGCCTACTGACTTCCTACTGTGGAAACGGTTCCGCCCCATCTCTCACAGCCTTTGTGTATTCCAAGGTTATTGCCAAGAGCTTGCAGAGGTAGAAGTTAGGAAGAGGAGAAGAATTAAGGAGGAGGCAAGTGACTGGCATAAGAGTTGAGCCTTGGGGATGAAGAAGCAGCCTATTCTCAGGTTCCCTCAGGTTCTGAGTTGGAGTAGGGGGTGTTGGACAGTGACTACAGCCACTGAAGTGCTCCAGCTTGCCATGCAGGAAGACAGCCTGAGATACGGCTCCGGTAAGGAGCGTCTGCGCAGGTACCTGGAAATTGTTTGTATCTGTCTGTCACAGTCAGCCCTTCTCCTTGGAAAAGGAACCTGGAGGAAGGAAAGCAGGGCTTGGAGTGGAGAGGAGAAAGGGCAGGGGGGCTAGAGACAACTGGGACCTGCTATCCTATATGGCTGGTTCTATACCACAGTCCAGCTGCTTGCATTGTGATGCCCACTCCTCAGGGTCGTTTCACTGAGGTTATGATGACTCAAGCGGCAATGTCTGAGACATACTAGGTGTTGAGCCATTAGCCCCTTCTGTTATCCTTGTTGTAGAAGAACATGTAATGACCCAGGTGCAGGAAGAGAACGATGCCCCAGAAAATTACAAAGTTTGGCTGGCGCATCAGAGCTCGCATGAGCAATTAATCACTTACCAGGAGGATGGCAGCAAGGGAGCACGCACCACGTGCTGGCTGCTGCTGCTGCTCTTGCTCTTGCTCTATCCTTTCACTTCAGCAGGAGCCCAGCAAGGCTCTTTCCTCCGTTCTACAGATGAGCAAAAGGAGGTCGAACCCACTAACTTGGTTAAGGGCTCTGCGCTAGTGAGTGGCAGAACCAGAAATTAAACCTATATCTTCAATGTTATTATATGTAGCTCTCTTCAACCTTGTTCAGGTAGAGAGACTGAGTCTCGGGGATGGAAGCTGTGGACCTCAGTCCTCAGGATTGGCAGATTCAAGTGTTCCTGTCCAGGAAATGGCTGGGGCTAGATAAACCTGGGCTGGGTGACAGACTTGCTGTGTGCTGTGGCCAATTTCTCAACTCTTCAGCCTATGCTTCTGTACCTGGCCAGGACATGAGGGTTAAACTTGACACCTTTGCTCACTGCCTAGTGTTCCCAGGTGTCTTGAGACAAGCTGCCCAGCCAACCTCTGACGGTTGTGCTGCCCACAGCAAACAATTCCTGTGATGTTGACTGAGGAAACAAGCATGTTTTCTTCCAAACTCAGAGACCTCTGTGTTCTGGGATGTGTTTGCAGCCAAGCAGAGCCCTCAAGCTGCTGCTGGCATGGTGAAGGGTACACATGAGGTGGGGCTGCCTCCACCAGGAGGCGCACAAAGGCATATCACAGCCCATATTTTGTGGGGGATTTCATGATATTCATTCCATGTTGCTGCCAGAGAAAATTGAACTGGCAGCTCCTAGCCACGAGGAAGGGCTGTGTTTCTGCCAGGGCGGGTGCCTGGCACTGACTTGGGCCAAGTCAACCAGCATTTGCAGGCAAATATACACTCAGAAACATTCCAGTACATGCACGCACCAGCCAACATGTAGCTGTAAGGTACTACACTTGCCTGCCAGCTCCTTTCTGCTTCCATTACCAGGATCTCAGCTCCTGAGCTCAGGGCTGTCCCTTGGGCCCTGTATTTCGAGGCAGCCTGCCTCTGGGTACATCTTTTTCCTCCTCTGGCTCCCTGTCTGTGTCCCTAGGTCCCTGATATTCTCTGTGGCTATGGTTCTTTCTCTTCCCCTGTGTGTCGTGTATCCTTCCCCAGTTGCCAGCTTCTCTCTCCCACCGTTCCTCTGACTTGGTCTGCCTTTCTGACTACTGGACTCTGTCCCTGTGCCTTTCTGTGCCTCTCCTGCTTTCTCTGACCCCTCCTGTCTCTGCCTGTCCCACCTTTCTCTCTGTTTTCCTATGGCACTCTTCCGGAAATGTGAAGTGGCCGAATTTGAAGGGACAAACAGCTCTACACCCAGAATCCACCCCCAGCCCGCAGCACGCTGCATCCTCCTCCACATCGCATCAGGAAGAGCAGCTATTGTGTCAGGCCCAGGGAGTTGAGTGGAAGGGCCTGGGGGTCTGAGCTCTGACTGCTCTGCCACCTCCCTATTGGCTCCTAGCAGCCTGTGTTCAGCCAAGGCTGAGCGACAGGAGGAGGCTGTCGTCCATAAAAGGGGGATGAGGCACCAGAACTGCCATTCTGGAAGGATTTGGTAGTGTTCACAGCTTCCTCTCTGAGCAGGAGTCGGGGTAGCCCCTGAATCTCGGATCGACCGCCCTAAGACCTGCTCAGCTAGGACAAAGCAGTGCACAGGTAAGGTCTGGAGGGAACACAGGCATTCTCGGTTTCAACTACCCGCTCCTGGTGCTGTGCGGAGGAGCGGGTGGGAGCTTAGCTGGGGCAGTCAGCTTTGGTTCCGATTATCCGGGCACAGGAAGTCGTAGTTTCAAGGATAGTTTACAAAAGCCAGGTCAGTGAGTCCAGAGGATCGCCTGCCTTCTGGGACGCACGCCCTGTACAGTCCTAGCTTACACAGGTGCCTCACTTCTGCCACACAGCCTTTCTCGTGCCAGTTTCCAGGTCGGGGGAGCTTGGGGCAGCCTTGGCAGAACACTGAATGGTTTCGGTCATCAGCGTGATTTTAAAGGTCAAAGATCCTCACTGGACTTAGAGAAGCGGGGTTGGGAGCATCAGTGAGGTGCAGGAGTCAGGCGCCATCCACGCGCGAGCAAGTTCAACCTTTTTATCCTCTTCGAACCGCGTTTAACTGAAGACAAGGTGAGTGGCTTCCCTTGCCGCGATTTTCCCCGAATGAAGTTTGGGTTGTTTGCATGATTGGGAAGGAGGGAAGGAAGTGACGGCACCGCGGGAGGCCGAGGCTCAGCAGGAATTCTGCCAATTTTACTTTGAAAAGACTTGTTGCTCTCACGTAAATTACAGCCGGTTACAGCCAGGCAGAGTTAGGTTGGGGAAGCGACCCACATTCAAAGGACGTGGTATAGAACGCGAAAGTTTGATTCCAGCGAAAGGCTGAGAAGCCTCAGAAAAGAAGGCTGGAGAAAACTCCGTGGCTGTCTTGTAAATCAGTAACCTCTTCCATTTCCCTGGGTATCTTTTTCCAAGAAACTCTGAAGATTTACAGGCATCCCTTAATTAAGCCTCCAAACTCATTAGATTATTGGATCTGATTTCAATTCCCCTCCCACAGACAATAAGTTCTTATTATCACTCTTCTTCCAAGGATTGGTGTATAACACAGCTTGTCTTCCTAATTTGACAAGCATCGCTGTCAAGAGCCTTGTAAAACCTTTCAGTAAGTCGGTCCTTTTCTGTCCCTTCTCATGGGGCTTCACCCCGCCCCTGCTCACCTTCCTCCTCCATTTCCTTCTCCTGTGCCCCCACTTTGCCTTTTGTTCTGTTTTTTGCAGGTCATTTATACCCAGGCTTTGAGATCTGCGTGGGGGAGCTTTTGCAGCAGCCCCAGCTGGGTGAGTTATGGTACTGGGGGAGGTGTGCGTTTACTGACAGGATCCTGAGCCCACTGCTTTGCCTAGCTGTGACTGGTGGCAGGTGAATCTCCTGTCTCCATGTAGCTGGCAGCTGGGAACACGATGCCATGGTGACTCCACAGAAGCTATATGGTGAGACCCAGTGTTTTGACAGGCTAAGTGGTTGACTCTGGGTTGTTTGAGAAAATACACGGAAGGTGATGCTGTCTCAGGACTTCTTGAGTGTTACCTCAAGAAATTTCCATGTATCATCTAAATGTGTGTCTGACCATACCTGGGCCCATGCTGAACTTAAATCCCATACCCCATGCCTCATCTGCTGTGTGACTTTGGAACAGTAGCTGCCCTTCTCTGAGTCTTATTTTGTACACCTATATAAGAAGGATAATAACAACATCCCCTCCTCCTATGTGGTTGTGAGGCTCCTATTGGAGAGATTGTGTAAACCTGGCATTCAGTAGCACTCAGTAAATGCTACTGTGGCCAAGACATCACTGATTCAGAACAGCAGGCTTCAAAATGGACCTCTCCCTTCTTTTTTATGATATCCTCAGTCATCCCATTCCATTCTGCTGTACATTCTGCCAGAGAACTATGATTAAAAGTCTAATATTTCTGGGCTGAGAGCTCCTCTCCTGTCCTCTCCCTACCCCTATGATAGTTCCACTTCCTTATCTGCCCACTGGGAATCACGAAGTCCCTCCCTGATATCCCCTCCCACTACACACCTCAGGTTATCGAGGCACAACTTTTCTGTTTATTAGAGCCACCATCATTCTAAGAGGAGTCAGTAGTTGCTGGTTTAGTTTCAATGTACATCTGAGACCGTGTGATCGACAGCTGATTTCTCTCACCAGTTTGCTCATCTCTGCCCATAGCTACTGGTCTGACAAAGTGCTAAAGCAACTTCATCAAGACAGAGCTGGCTAGAGGGGGGGTTAGTAACACCAGACAGAGCCATGTCCCCAAGACCTTTGCAACTCAGCCTGGACCCTGCTCAGTGCCACCAAAAAAGCTCAATAGTCACATCTATGAAATAGTGACCTGAATCAGGGATCTTCTCCTCTACCCTCTTTGCCCCACAGGCCAGAGTGCTTGGCCACTAGCTACAGACATATTTGTCAAAGGTAATGCGTTCTCAGGCCTTTATTCCTATCTTATTCCTGTACGATTCAATTTAACTTGACAAGGGTTTACTGAGCAGTTATTACGAAACTCAAGGGACAGATTCAAGGAGCACCAAGACCACTTTGGGGATGGTGATTCCCACTGCAGGCCAGCTCCTGACCCAGACCTGCCTTCTTCCCTTGCTTTTGCTCACGTCCCTCTTGGCCTCTCCCCCTCTTCCTTTCATCCTCTTCCTTATCTCATCTTTAGGTTCTTTCCCACGTGGTCCACTGTCGACACTGTCAGTTCCTGCTTTTGCAGCTCTTCACGTCTTCCGTGCAAGTCCCACATCACACTCTTCATGGCTTTTCTCTCCCTCTTTCCCTCCCTCCCTTTCCACTCTCTCTCTCCTTTCTCTCTTTTCCTGTTTTCCCCCCATTTCTCTTTTGCTTTTCTCTCCACCCTTCATTTGTACCAAATGACAACAAAGGCGAGAATTCCACACAAATTTGACACTTGAGAAGCATTCCTTAAAAATGCAGCTAATGACTTCTCTGTGACTGTGACCATCATGGCCTGGATACAGGGCCTGTATTTCTATTTCTATACAGCAAATGCAGTGATATTCAAATGCAGCCTGGTCCTATGTCTATGCTTTGATCCCTGCTGGACGAAAGGGTGGGTTTACTTTCTGCTTAGAAAACAAGCCATTCCGCAAATGAATCGCCCTCTCTCACTGATCCCTACAAGAAGGGCTTCCCAGTTTCTGGGCTTTCCTTTGCCAACCCTTGGGAGCCCATAAGGACGAACTTGGTATTTTCCAGCGAGGTGAAAACTTCCGAAATGGCTTCATTTTCAGGAGTGTGAGGGTTTGGAGGTTAGTCCAGAGGACATGCCAAATGCCCATGCACCTTGGGGTTGTTTGTAGAGTCAGTAGATTGGCTTTATGCCTAGTTCTGCCTCTCTCTCTCTCTCTCTCTCTCTCTCTCTCTCTCTCTCTCCCTCTGCCTCAGCTGAATCCTTTCCTGTCTCTGAGCCACTACATTCTCATCTAGAAAGTGGGGTTAATAGTGCCTAGCCCAATGGTTCCGAATTCTGATAATTCACATGAAAGGTATAGCAAAGCCCTTGGCCTCCAAATGGGAGACATGAATTCTAGCCCTGCCCCCAGTGGGGAAGCACTGCCACTCTCAGCCCACAGTCCCCCGTCCCCCCTGGAGCCTGAGCCTGCACTGACAGCCTTGAGGGTCTACCTGGAGGCACCAGGCCTGGCACAGAGCAGTGGCAAAATCTTTGGTATCTTCTAGGGTGGTTGTCTCTGGAGGGTCACTGACACAGTGACATATGATCAGGGTTGTTAAGGCAGGTGTGGGAGCTGGAGTTCTGTCTCTGTCCCTCCTGACTCATAGTGTGACCTTAAACAAGTGACTTCATTCTGACCTTTTCCCACTTCCTCTTCCCTGAAGTAGGAATAATCATATGCAATAAATTGCTCCCTGAGATAATTGTGATGTTAAATCAAGCTATTATTATTCCACCCTGGCTTTTTAAATAAAAATGCTTTGGCTTCTGGAGCCCTGGCTGGCTACTACTGTAGAAATATCTTGAGCTGTGGAGAGGGCTGAAAACCATAGGAACTCTGAGTCTTACCGGAAACAGAGCCTACTATGTGTGGGTCCTTTAAAGGATGCTGTCTCTGACAGTCAGTCGGGAAGCCCTTAGAGAGAGGGCACTGGGGTCTATATAATGAGGAAAGTCCCAGGCGCATTTCCCCCTTTCCCTTGGGCTCTGCCACCAGCAGGGACTCTGAACTTGAAGCATGCAAAATACAACCTGCCTCTTCTGCAGTGAACTCACCTGACCTCCTAGCAGGAGATGACTTCATTATTATTAGATAATATGTCCACATGCCTGGATACCCAAGAAAATTAGCTGAAAACCATTAGAATCATAAAATGGTTGTAAATAAATGAAGGCAAGGCCAGAATCCTTTCTTGGTAAAGGGTCAGACATACTTTTAGCTTTCTGGGCCGTTGAGTTCTTGTTTCAACAATTGGTCCTTTGTGGCATGTAAAATACCTATGAACAGATGTCAGTGGGACCAGGGTCCTCCTGACAAATGGAACCCATAGTCCATAGAACACGTCTGTGTATGGAAAGATTTGTTGTAAGGAATTGGCTCGTGTGAACGTGGTGGTTGGATATGTCTTGACTGGCCTGACTTTTTGTTAGGACAGAATCACCTCTTGTCTATCAGCCTGCTTTTTCCCTCTGGTCTGTTCCATGTGCCCTGCGTGTGGGCTAGGATATACTTCATGAAGTGCCAAGTACATAGGAGTCTTCCCTGGGAGACCATTTTCATGAGGGATGCCGTCCTCTGGGTCATTGTTTGGGCCTCACCCTGACACTTGCCAAGTGAACCCCCTTTTCACTTTTCAGTCCAGTGAAAGTCAAAGTTTCTTTGCTCTTCACCCTAGCCTACATCAGAGATAGTAAGCACCAGGGCCATTTGTGGCCTCTGATTTCAAGTTTCATCCATCACAGAACTTTACCATCTGTCACAGATCTCCGTCATCTATCACAGGCCTTCGCCATCCAGGACGGGTCTCCACCAAAAGTGTGAAATCTGCACTCTACTCCTACCTCTCACCCTTAGGACATATATGACATTGCTCAGTAATTTGTTTTTCTTTTAAAGGGGAGGAAATAGGATGAGGGTAGGAATATCTCAAGGCTAATGTATGGAGACACGTTCAACCTAATGGATCTGGTTAGAGGCTGGTTCTCCTATTTGCAAGTCAAGAACCTAGACAAGAAACTTCTCTCCAAGCCTCAGCTTCACCTTAAGGGGTTTGGGACTACCACCTCAGGGGATGCTGGAAGGGTCTGAGCTAGCATACCTAAGCCTGGCACCTCGTGGGCTCCTGAGAGGTGAGACTGTTAGAAGACTGATCCGATCATGAGGGGCATCAGCCTACCTTTTCATGCAGCAGCCCCCACATGCAGCCACACTTTGGTTCCTTGTTGCCCTCTTCTCCCATCTCCAGTAGTCCATAGGACGAGACCACTGCCTTCATACTTATTTAAATTACCTGGTATATGCCAGGCATAGGAGTGGCATGACTAAACAGTTGCTAAAAACAAAACAAAAAAAACCCTCAAATGCATTTTCATTAGCCCCACTTTACAGTGGAGAAACAAAACTCAGGAAAGTCAAGTAATTTTCCTGAAGTGATGGCAAGTGGCTAGTTGGGATCTGTACATTCACTGGTCCTGAAGCTGGGCCAGGAGAGATTGAAGTCCTTACCTTTTTTTTTCTCAAAATCACTGAACTCTTCTAATCCCAAGTTGCTTGAGGTGGCCACCCAGAAGTGGCAGATGCAAATGTCTGTAGGTGGAGGACTGGACTATGTGCGTCCTGCTCACAATGATGACCAGAGTAAGATTCAGATACAGTGTCTCAAAGGTTTTTGATTTTTTTTCTATACAAGTTGAAAATCAACTTGTTTTTTTTTTTTTTTAACTAAAAAAAAAATCTCCCAGCTTAAATATGTTGCTTGTGTACCTCTCACCAAACTTGTCTGAGCTTCTGGTCTCATTTTAGCCTTGGATGAGGTGCTAGTACACTATCCATCCATCATTCATTATTCCACCCAGCTAGCCATTCGTCCATTCACTAGCCCACTCACGCATCAATCATACAAACTTCTCTAGTCTTCTCATGACATTTCAAACAAGTGCAAACTGTAGCTAGGCCCACAAGGCTGATTGAGTGGCCTCTGCCCTCCTCTTGGCTTTTCTTCCTCCGTTCTCTCTTTCTTTCTCAACCCTGACCTCCCAGTCCTTCTCAAACACACCACACACTGTCAGTCTCAGGAACTTTGCATTTACAAAGTCCCCTCTGATCTTGGACTCTGAATGCAAAGATAATTATGTGCTAGGGCCAGCATGGGTAGCTGTGGAAGATGAATCCAAGGAGGGCCTTGACAGATAGACTTCCTGGAGGAGACAGCTAAGGCTGAGTTCTAAAGAACGAGTGAGAGTTAGCAAGGTCAGAAGGTAATAGCAATAGATGAGACAGGTATTCTGGCAGAAGGAACTCTTTCTGAAGGGCTGGGGCTAGCATGCATGGGGCCTTGGTTATGGAGTTGAGGTGGCTTAGGTAACCCTAGATCAGGCAGAACTCACACCAAACTGCCTATATGCTGTGCACTTGCTGGGATACTGTGGATTCATTACATCATCTCTCTGTGCATCCATTTTCCATCTGTAATATGGGAAAGATGCTGGTCTTAGCCTTGTCTTGAGGATCTCCTTACATTAAGCAATTACAGGTCACACACAGAATGCACCTCACAAATGTCAGTTCTGTGTTGGGAAGGCTGCTGGGTACAGGCAGGGGGATCAGACCTTTGAAAGGCAGTGCAGAGCTCTGGAGGCACAGTCAGATGGGCATGTCAGGAGAGAGCTACTATGGAGAGTGTGTTTAGGGAAAAAACTTGAAACTCCTCTAGAGCCAGGAAAGCTGAAGGCTAGGGGTAGATGGAGCACCCTGGGCAATCACCACTGATGAGAAGGAGAGTTCTGGAGCAGACTGTCTAGTTGCTTGTCTCCCTTTGGGCTACTGATCAGAGCTGAAGTCTTGGGAGGCCTCATCTCCTCCTTGTATTGTGGGCATGGTAGCAGCACTCATAGCTTGAGTTACTTGTGCAGTGCATGAGTTCATCCAGAAGGGCTGCTCAGAGTGCCGGGTATAGCACCTGCATCATTCCTTATAGGTTGCTAAAGAAGGACAGGAAAGAATACTGGCACCAGTTTTGCCTGGGACAGAGAGGTATAAATTGGGTCTCTTATCTTAAAGCTGCGTGGTGCAGGAAGCCTGTGGCTGGACGTTAAGAGCTTGGCAGAGGCGCCATTTACTAAGTCATTAGTGGCTGAATTTTCCCTAATCTTATCCTAGGCTAGGCCTGCCATCATCAGAATCAGAGAAAATCTGAGCTGTTTGCTTTGTCTGCATGTAAATGGTGCAGTCATTTGCTTGAAATCTTAATCTGCTCAGCTAAAAGAGTAGGAGAGATACCCAAACCCAGGGGCATCAGAGACACATGGTAAACACAAGTCCATTTCTCTCAGTTTTCCACTCAGAGCTTCCCTGTGCCAGGAAGAGCTGGGCCTAGCCGCAGGACTAGCACCTGGACCTGATTTCCGACCTGCAGTTGCCTATAACCTCAGACAATTTACCAAGCCTTTCTGAGTACCGGTTTTCTTTCTCATCCCTAAAGGGTGCTAATCATGCCCACCTCTCAGCTGGTGGGTGGACTGAGCTTGGGGTAGAAGTCAAGGCTGTGTGATGCTGTTCCTGGGTCCTGTAGAGGACTTACTGTTGATGAATCAGAGCTGCTCTAGAAACTATAGTTATTAAATGGAGGAGGTCAATAGAGTGGGCCTGGCTTTATGGCTCAGGGCAGGATGTGGACATCTCCCTGTAGTGGAACTGTCCGTGGAGGGGTTTAGGGCAATAGAGGCTCAATAATGGCAAGTGGGATCATGATTAGGAAGGCTCTGGTAAGGGAGCCTACTGTGTGCTATGGAAGAGGAGACCTGTTCTGGGTGTAGCTCAGAGCTCTGGGATTCATAGGTGGGATCTTTGAAGCCTCTGAACATGTGAACAGAGAGGATCCTTTACAGAAACCTGGAGGGAAGGTGGACACTGTCTCTTACCTTGGAGGCAGTAGGGTAGGATGGTTAGGTGGGAAAGAATGGGAACTCCCATCCCCAGCTGGCTGGTTAGGGCAGGAGTCTCGGGGGATGGGGGGTGGGGCTGACATTTTCAGTTTTAAGAACTATATGGTATGTCTGTTTAAGTGGCTCTGAGTCTAAGTTTGACTTCTAAAGAGTTGACTGTGGCTGGGCTTGGTGGTCCACACCTTTAATCCCAGCACTTGGGAGTCAGAGGCAGTCGAATCTCTGGCTAGACCAGCCTTGTCTAGCTAGCAAGTTCCAGGCCAGCCAGGCCTATATAGTGAAGAGGTGACTGTGATGGGCTCAGCAGTTAAGAGTGAGTTGCAGAGGGACTCAAGTTTGGTTCCTTGCACCCACATTGGATAGCTCACAACTGCCTATAATTCCAGCTCCAGGGGATCTGACATCGTCTTCTGGCTTCTGCAGGCACCTGCACTCATGTGCACATACCCGCCCCTATGTATAATTAAAAATAAAGTGAAATTCCCGTGAAAGGGGCAACTTTTAACAGATTTTCTTATGAATCGTCAGTTTATCTGTCAAGCATTTGTTGAGGGCCCACTATGTGCTGGCCAGAATTTTAAATGCCAGAATACAGCAGGAACAAAGACAGCTAAGATCTGTGTCCTAAGTCCCTGAGGCAGCAATGAGCTTAGCCTGTTTGAAGATCATTGAGGAAGTACTACAGAGAAGGTAAGAAATGGTTCCGCCCTTTAGAGAGCTGGAATGTGTGTGGGACTGGGGGTCTGCTCAGCTGGTTAGCCAGCTATTGTGAATGAAAGAGGTACAAGTTCCTGGGAGAGTAACTAGAAAGTACTACTTGGAGCAGGTGATACCTAATGTAGGACCAAAGTGACAAGTAACAGGAGAGGAGAGGAAGGGTTTCCAGATAGGAAGTAAGCATGTGCAAGGTCAAGAGGTAGGACAGAGCCTGACACAGTCATGAATTGCAAACAGCTGGAGGTGGTATGGAGTATGGATTCCAGACCTAAGTGTTGGGCTGTGGGAATGGGACTGAGGCAGTATCTGACATTGAGACAGGGCAACCCTGACTCCACTCAAATGGGTTTGAGCTCAGATTTAATATGCTGAGAAGGGTAATTTCTGTCGCTGGAAGGAGGCCAGCATGGAAAGAGGATGAAGATGTTCAGGCCAGGGTGAGGAGCAGTGCTGGAGTAGAAAAAGAAAGTTCCAGAGACCTTGCAAAATGGAGGAAGAGAGAGAAGGGGGGGAGAGAGAGAGAGAGAGAGAGGGAGAGAGACAGAGAGAGAGAGGAGAGAGAGAGAGGAGAGAGAGAGGAGGGGGGAGAGAGAGAGAGAGAGAACCTGGGGGCAGCAGGGGGAGGGGCATCCAGAGCACAGCTGCATATCTTCAGCTTGGTGGTAGTCAACGTGGGGCTTGAAGTTGGACAGACCAGATCAAGTCCTGGTTTACAGGCTTCCTGGCTGTGTGCAATCATACCCTTTCCTGTGCCTTGGCTCCTCCACCTGTCAAATGAAAGTAGCACAGCCCACCTTGCAGAGCTGTTACTTGCACAGAGTGTGAACAGAATAAAGCTCCCAGCACCTAGCAGGCACTCAGCACTCAACCTTCCCTTGACCCTTGGCCCTGGACTCCTACTTCACCTCCCTAGCCTTTGTCCTTGGCTGTAGAATGGGAAGAATGCCTGCCTTATGGTGCTCCAGACAGGAGTAAAAGAGATGGCCTTGTCAGCTCAGCACACATTTAACCAGCTTGCCCTTCTCCCTCCCCAGCAGGAAAACAAAATGACGTGGACCCGGCTGATGCTGTTGGCTTGCCTCCTCCTGGTCCCCTCTACTGCTGCAGAGGACTGCCTGTCTCTGTGCTCCCTGTGTACAGTGAAGACTCAGAATGAGCCCCAGCCCATCAACCCCCTGGTAGGTCTCAGGGCTAAGATCCTCCATGCCCACCTTCATTCATGTGCAGAGACCAGAGAAAGGAGGTGGCCGGCCTGGGCATATGTGCCAATACTGTACTCATCCCTGTGGTGCAGGGCTTGTCCTGCTCTCTGCACAGCTGGGTGCCAGGGGCTGCTGCTAGCTCCCACTGCACCCTAAACTTCAGTACCATGTACTCCCCCAGTCATGCACAGACACCCACATCTCCAGGTAGCCAGGTACCTGGCAACAAGGTACATCATGGGATGCTGGCTACAGTCTGCAGCTCTGGGTAAATTTTCTAGGGCTTCTTTTCCTGACTGATGGGACCTTCCAAATTCATCTAGTCCCTTGGAAAAAAACTGTCAACATCAGTCCTAACAAGATCTTCTCGACGGACTTAGAGCCTTAGCCCAGATTTGGGCTTTAGCCTGGGCTTAGCCTGGGCTGTTAGCTTTACATGCTACATGGCCTAGTAGTACTTTTTCATATGCTTCACCTGAGACATCAGAAAGGCTGCAACAGAGTTGCCAGAACCGTGCTGGACAGTGCCCAGGCTTTGCTCCTGTTTTCCTCCAGCTTCCTGACTCTAGATTCCCCCCCCCCGCACCCCTTTTTTTCCCCGAGTTCCACTTTCCTCGTTTACAAAATGAGAGTAATTTCATTTATGACTAACCCATGTTCATTGGGATACACACAATATACCCAGGCTCAATTTCAGAAAAGAAGCATGGGTAAGCCTGGGTACTCGAGCATCACACCTTCAAGAGTTCAAGTTCCCATATTGCCCGCTGTCGGCATCATTATAGTCATCATGGTGATCGAATTCTCCCAACAGCGCTACAAAATGATACTACTGTCCTCTCTCTACACAAACACACACATACTCACACAAACACCCCCTCAGCACACACACACACACACACCACACACACCACACACACCACACACACCACACACACCACACACACAATCACACACACACACCCCACACACACCCCACACACAATCACACACCACACACACCACACACACCACACACACACACCACACACACAATCACACACGCACACACGCACACACACCACACACACAATCACACACACACACCCCACACACACCCCACACACAATCACACACCACACACACCACACACACCACACACACACACCACACACACAATCACACACGCACACACGCACACACACCACACACACAATCACACACACACACCCCACACACACCCCACACACAATCACACACCACACACACCACACACACCACACACACACACCACACACACAATCACACACGCACACACGCACACACACCACACACACAATCACACACACACACCCCACACACACCCCACACACAATCACACACCACACACACCACACACACCACACACACACACCACACACACAATCACACACGCACACACGCACACACACCACACACACAATCACACACACACACCCCACACACACCCCACACACAATCACACACCACACACACCACACACACCACACACACACACCACACACACAATCACACACGCACACACGCACACACACCACACACACAATCACACACACACACCCCACACACAATCACACACACACACACCACACACACCACACACACACAATCACACACACACACACACACCACACACACAATCACACACGCACACACGCACACACACCACACACACAATACACACGACACACACACACCACACACACATACCACACACACACATACACACCACACACACCACACACACACGACACACACACACCACACCACACACACCACACACACCACACACACCACACACACCACACACACACAATTACACACACACACACGCACACACACCACACACACAATCACACACACACCACACACACACAATCACACACACACACCACACACACCACACACACAATCACACACCACACACACGCACACACACCACACACACAATCACACACACACACACCACACACACACAATCACACAATCACACACACACACACGCACACACACCACACACACAATCACACACACACACCACACACACGCACACACACCACACACACAGTCACACACACACACCACACACACACACCACACACACACAATCACACAATCACACACACACACACCACACACACCACACACACAATCACACACCACACACACCACACACACAATCACACACACACCACACACACGCACACCACACACACAGTCACACACACACACCACACACACACACACCACACACACACAATCACACAATCACACACACACCACACACACCACACACACCACACACACCACACACACAATCACACACACACACACCACACACACCACACACACACAATCACACAATCTCACACACACACACACACACACACGCTCCCCTCCAGTTTGATGAGCTTTCCCACCCTTTGTGCATGCTCTTTCTGCAGCTCTGAGCTTCTCTGTCTATAAAGTTCTAGCAGCAGATTCCATACCTGATGGAGACTAGATCAACTATTCTCTTTTGAAGAGGGGAGGCCTGCACGTCTGCCTCACCTCCCTAAGTCTGTTTTCTCATGTCTCACATGATGCAATGTCACCTACTTTTATGTACCAATAGGCAGCTAAGTCCTCCACAGAGGCAGCTCATTTTGATCCCCAGACACCCGGCAGAGCAGTGGGTGTGTTCTGGTGGTTTGATTGGGTGACATTACCACTGTGCTGTTTGGGGTCTTTACAGATTTGTTCCCTGGAGTGCCAGGACCCAGTCCTACTCACAGAGGAGTGGGAGAGATGCCAGGGCCTTCTACCTTTTCTCAGCCCCTCTACCTCTGGGCTCCATGGCAAGGATGGCTTGGAAAACAAGGCTGCTTTGGAAGAACTGACCAAACTTGTGGGGCCGTTCCTGAAGGAGCTGCAGAAAAGCAGATTCCTCTCCAGCGTCTTAAAGGAAAAGCTCAGGGGTCTCTCTGACAGGTTTGGGGAAAGAAGAGATTCTGAGCTGATGCGGGCTGACCAGATGAGCAATGGAGCCACGGAGGCTGGCACAACCCATTTCAATGAGGAAGACCTCAGGGAGCAGGTCAAACGCTACGGTGGCTTTTTGCGCAAATACCCCAAGAGGAGCTCAGAGGTGGCTGTGGAAGGGGATGAAGATCGGGATGGTGTGGGGCACGAGGACCTATACAAGCGCTATGGAGGCTTCCTGCGGCGTATCCGCCCTAAGTTAAAGTGGGACAACCAAAAGCGCTATGGCGGCTTCCTTCGGCGCCAGTTCAAGGTGGTGACTCGGTCCCAGGAGAACCCCAATAGTCTTTCTGAAGATCTGTTTGATGCATAATACCTCCCCACCATGGAGTTTGGTTAGGAGCTTCCCCTGACCCCACCCCTACTGGAGCCCTCTCCCTCATCCTCCTGTGTGTGCCCCACCCCACACTCCATTCAGCACTCATCTGAAAATGTCCAAACTCAGACCACCCCTTTCCTACCTAAGTGCAGTATTTGTTTGGGTGCAGTGACAGAGAAGAGTGGAGGTGCCCTGCTTGTAGGTCCAGTGTCCGGCTCCAACTCCTAGATCTTTAAGCTACAACCGCCAGTGGCTTTTGACTTGAACTCCACCAGTTTTGTATCTTTGGACCCTTACCCCGAGAATCCAAAGAAACTTGTTCTTTGTACCTGTAGATCTGCGATCTCCAAACTTTACTGCTCATCATGTGCCCCTCTCATAAGAAAAATGAGCACTCCCTGATAGTATGCATGTGAACCATAAAACATAGAGTAGACACTTCAAACAAGGTCTAAAATGAAAATGGTAATTCTAACACTGTTCTCAAGCCTCAGAGGCTCTCTTGTGTGGCCCATTCTGGAGACCATAGGTTAGAGGAAAGGCCTTTTCAGGGGCAGGGATTCTAACCTGAGAGACCAGACCTCTAGCAGGCTAAGTGTTCTGTCTATGCATCTGGAGTTCTCATGGTTTCCAAACATAGCTCTGGAAAACCCCAGCTCCTGAACCCTGAGTTAGGCTGGGTGCCTTTCCTGAAGGAGAGAGAGCCCTTCACTGGAGAAAGAATGCCATCCTTCTGAAGGCTCAAATGATAAGGAGGGACCAAGGCGAACCGATTTGTTCTAAGCAACAAATGCAGAATGTGGACCAGTTCTCTTGGTTGTCATTAAACTAATTAAACTGATGGGCATCACACTTCCATGTCAGGAACTGAAGCAGAGTGGGGCATAGGAGGTTAAGCACAGCTGTGTTCAGTAGTCGAGTTGGCTGTGGGGAAGCTGAGCCATTTGGCCCAGCATATGCACTGGGCAGTGGTAAGGAATTCTTCAGAAGCAGTGGCTGAAAGAGGGACAGTGATTCTTATTCTTTATGTTTCCAAATAAAACAAGAAAAAGGAAAGAAATGATTGAGTGTTCAAGGGCAGCTGAATTCCCTTGATTCAAACAACCCAAAATCAGAGGTGCAGACCTCTTTGGTTTCAAATGCTCCCATCTCCAGGCAGACGTTTTGGTTGGTGAGTATAGGGGATGGAGTTTGATGGGAGAGGAAATGAACTGGATTTTCATATTTGCATAAGATACCTGAGTGACCCTCTCCACACACAGGCCACAGCCTGCAGCTCTCTCCTCGTGTTCTGAAATGTGTAGACTGTTTTAAAGTTACTTTGTGTGCTTCTTAAAAATTCCATTTATTCAACTTAGTTGAAATATGCTTAGTCCTTAAATAGGCCTGTATATTTTCCTGCTCTTCCAGTACAATAAATAAAAGATGCTAATGACTGGATATGTACACGTGTGTGTGTGTGTTTTCACTGAAGTAGTCCCCAAAGAGAAAAGGCTATTTACAGAAAGGGGTGCTGCATTATATGTACACACATGATATGCATACAGGCACATAAATACACACATTAGCTGCATTGGAAAACACAGTGTGGGATAACAGGAAATGGGAAAGTGAATTTGCTACAGTCTTAAATCTGAAAACTGAATCTTTGTGACTAGGGAAGTCATTGACCTCTCTGGGCCTTAGTTCTCCATTCTATAAAATAAAAACTAATGGGGCCATGTTTTTTCAGGGTGGCTGAGCATTAGATGAGATCATATATACAAAACTCCTAGAACATATTAGGTCTAGTAAATGAGAGTTTTCTTCCTAATGTGTTCTCAAAGGACAATGGCCAAGCTGGGCATTGAACAAGGAGGGCAAGGAGAGACGCTGCATCCCCAGGGGCTACTTCCTATAGGAAACTGGGACACAAGACAGAGATGTTCCTAGAAAAACTGAGTGTGCTAGTGCAAACACATAGTGTCCTCCATATAACAACATCCTCTATGGAAAGATACAGGTGAGGGTCTTTAATGTCAAAGAGACTCGAAGACTGTGGACTTGGGTTCTATTGGGACACTGACTTTGGAGTGACTTCATAGAAAGAATGGGGTGAGGGATGTTCCACTCATTTTCTCATTCACCCAGTAAGGCACTAAATTAAAGGCCTACTGTGTATGGAAGGCCCATTACTAGGTGCTGGAAGTACAGGGAGACAGAATGGACAAGGTCTCTGTACTTATGGTATTTACAGGTTAGTGGGAAAGAGAAGAACAAACAAGCAAAATCATACATCTAAAATTATATTTTAAATATTTTATTTATTATTTTAATTTTATGTGTATGAGGAGTGTATTGCTTGCACATATGTAAGTACAGATGTGCTGTGCAGTGCCTGCGGAGGTCAGAAGAAAGTGTTGAATTCCCCTGGAACAGGAGTTACAGACAATTGTCAGCTGCCATCTAGGTGCTGGGAATTGAATCTGGGTCTTCTGCAACCCGTGCTCTTGACAGCCATCTTTCCAGCCCCTTATACATATACTTTTAAATTTTTATTTATTTATTTTATGTGTATGAGTGTATTGCCTGCATTTGTGTAAGTGCCCCCACGTCATGAGATGCCTGAGGAGGTCAGAAGAAGGTGTCAAATTCCCCTGGAACTGGAGTTATGGATGATTATTAGCCACCATGTGGATGTGAGATTCAAACCCAGGTCTTCTGCAAGAACAGCCAGTACTCTTAACTGCTGAACCACCACTACAGCCTCTTAAAATTAAAATAGTGTCAATTGTCATAAAGAAAATAATTGGGGCATGGAAGTGCAGAACAGCAGGTACAGGGGAGACTCTACTTAGGGTAAGGAATATTCCTTTCTTGGTAGTCACAGGAAAATCAAGTTGGAAGGAGTCTAAGCTTTAGCTTCATCTTATCCAGCCGGCCATCCAGGTCTAAAGAAGACACTTGAACCCACCCATGCACCTTTATAGACTTTTACCTCACAGCACATTCTTACTCTTTGATGGTTTAAAGTGCCATCTCTGTGCTGGGTTCAAGTTTAGGTTTTGGTCACTTTTACTCATTGGGTCCTGATCCTGGTGTCTGTCTGAGAGCTTCTCTAGAGAAGACTTTTATGTCACTTTCAAACAAATGGTTTCTAACAATCTCAAATGAGTGAAATTGGGCAATTTATTGGCATATATAATGCAAATCCAACAAGATTGTGCTTCAAGTAGAGCTTGATCAAGGGGCTTTCTAAGGCCTCAGGGCCTGTAGTCCATCCGTAGGCTCCTTTTCCCCAGGGGTAAATTCATTCTAAGGCTCCATGTGTTTTTCACATGGGTTCCAGCAGTTCTGGTTTCTGTCCCACATGCTTTTTTCACAGTAATCCTAACTAGTGCTTTGTCATATCTTATTGACTCCAATTGGATCATATGTCCAATCATCAGCTAATTCTAGTGATCATGAACAGGTTCATGTGATACTCTGATTGGCTAGAACACAGACATAACCAGAGACAGGATGGATTTATTCCATGCAAACTACTGGAAAAGGAAGGGACTGGTCTACGGGAAGAAAACTAGAGCATCGTTCCCAGTGGGTAGGGAATGAGTTCCAGACCACCACACAGCAGCAGGTCACACCCTGTGAGCAGAGGGACTGGTGGGGGTTAGGGGCAGCTGGGAGCACATGCCGCAGGGAACGCACAAGAGACTGTAGACATCTGGCTCTGCATGTGACAGCTCTCAGCTTTCCAGTTGAGCATTTAAAAAAATATTTTATTTATTATTTTTATTTTATGTATACGCGTGTATCGTCTGCATGTAGGTAAGTGCACCTGCGTCGTGCAGTGCCCTCAGAGGACAGAGAGGCTGTCAGATCCCCTGGAACTGGAGTTACAGACGGTTGTTAGCTGCTATGTGGGTGCTGGGATTTGAACCTAGGTCTTTTGCAAGATACCACTGAGCCATCTCTCCAGCCCCAACGTTGAGCAATGTTTTAAAAATATTACAATCCAAACAACACTTGTCATGAGTCACCACTGTCATCATCTTATGATTTCTTTTCAGGCCTTTATTTTTACAAGAAACATATTTGAAAATTTCCTCATACACTATGGAATCTACAATATCATTGTTCTGGGCTTCCCTTTTCTGGGTTATTTTACGTGGTCACAAAGAAGCATGCCTATGCAGGGTAGACAACATGGCTCTAGGGATGCAGAGCATTTGGGTTCAGATTTCCAACCTGTTGAGTAGAGAGGAAAATACTGACTTCACTGGTCAGAGGCTAAGATTCAGGAGTGTCAAGTGACCTGACCTGCTGTAAATAATGTGGGCACATATTGCTGTCCTTTCTTCTAGGAGGTGACTCTGATCATGTGTCTGATGTCACCTGAATGAGGCATACTTGCTGAAGGAACAGCATTCTGCTGTTTGTAGGAAAAGAAAGGCATTGCAGCTATTTTTCTGGATATAACCTACGTGCTTCAATTATCCTCATCTTAAGTGTGTAGCTCAATGATCCTCACATATGCAGTAGTCATGTCTGCCACTCAGACTACACTAGAGAACATTCCACACTCCAGAGAGCTTGACAAGATTGTTTTAATGAGCTATTTGAAGGGACAGAGAACATCACAGACTTCCCTGATTCCTTAGCCTTTGTCCCTTCCACAAAGGCCACTGTACAGTAGTCACAGAGCAGGCAGGCACACCAACACCCCAGTAACCTTCAAAAAGCCCATTACTAATAAGCAAGCAGTTTCCACGACGATATTGAACAGCCAGGAAGTCCGGTCATAATGATCATGACAGTCATTATCATCCTCTGCTTTGGATCAACGCTCCCTCACCCTCAAGTTCCAAGCTCCTCCCAGGAAGCAGCCCAGGGATGGGGCTTGTCTGTTAATTCAAAGCCCCAAAGAAAAATCTCCAGGACAGCATGGAAACAATGCTTCCCTAATAGATATCAGCTCAACACCCATGAGGCCTCCCAGAAACTGTGGAGGTTTATAGCAAAGATCTATAATTTTTCATCCGATATGTAAATTTGCATCCCTGTTGCACTTGCACATAATTTGTCTTGTCTCTGACTTCAGTTGAGTCCATTATTCCCTGTCCTCGCCTCGCATCCTTCATTACCTTTGATGGGAAGTTGGTTTTTCAAAAACATACACCTAATCCCTCTTGACACCTGCCAGGCTCCTGCAGGACCTGTCCTGGGGTCTGGGAAATCAGGAGTCTTCCTGATTAATGATAAGATCTGTGTGATGTCGGGACTTGGAGAAGGAGCTCTGCAGCTGTGGGAGGGGGCCCAGATCTCTCCAGGACCCAGTTTACACTTCTTTATAGTGCTGCTGATAGCATTGCAAGGGCAAATATTGCATGCTCTTTCTAGGAGCCTACCTGGGCTGAATGATCTACATTAGTCAATAAATGCTGAACAAAGCAACCGAGCCTCTGTTTCCCCATCTTAGAATGAGGCTGATGGTTTCTACCCTGTCACAGGAGAAAACACAGAGATAGCATCTTGCTGAAAATTGTTGCCTAACCAGTGTCAGTGCCTTCCTTGCCTGAATTCATCTCATTTTTAGCGAACAATTATTAAGCATCTGCTGTATACACAGCAAGGAGCAAGGGATTCAGTGGCGCTTAAAGAAAGACCTACTGCACGGATCTGGGGAACGGAGGGGGTTTGGGAATCATTGAGAGCTGGAAAAGAAAGGGTGAGGGTGTACGAGTGACGGAGTAAGGGGTAGTGACTTGGAGCGGTCACAAAGGTATTTCTACATCACCAGAGACGTGTGAGAGGCTGATGGGGGAGTCTTGTAGTTGTCTAGTAAAGCAAGGAGGGAAAGTGTTCTAGGCACAGAGAACAGAAAGTTCAAAGGGTCAGAGGTAGCTTTGCGGTTGTGGCTGAGGGGTAAGGAAGAGGGAATGAAGGAGAAGGGAGCGTAGGAAATGGAGCAGCGGCAGATGGGCCAGACGGTGCTGGGCTTACACACTGTTCTGCGTTTATAATACTGTCCAATGATTGGCCCTGGAAAAGACTTTTGAATTTGACCCATGGAAGATGGTAGCTTCTGGAAGGGTATGACCTGAGCCAGGTGATTTGGCTTCTCCAAACAAACAAAGGTGAGAATGGAAGGTACCAGGAATAACCCAGGACCTCCTCTTTCTTGGGTTCAAAGCCTCAGTCACAATGTTCACAAGCACTAGGACTTGTGGCTCCTGAGTCGGCAAACTCCCCACGGGCAGTGGGGAGCTCGTGCAATGTCACAGGTGGTGGCAGGGAAGTCATTCTGCAAAAATCAGTTGTTCTTGAGAAATTAGCTTGCAGAAGGCACGTGGCGCTTCTACTACCCACCATCTTAGTCTGAAAAACATAACCTCATGATTTGAGCTTTTGGGGGAGAAAATTATCAGAACTGGTCTCTAAGTTGTTTTAC